TGTTTCAAGTGCTAGTAAAACCAACAAAAGTATACGATGTATTATATTAAATTAATTTGCATTGTTAGTCCTGATTTAGGGTGAGAGTTCTAAAGGGGACACAGAGTGTTGGGATTCATGGGAGAGAAGCATAGGTAAGGGGAGATGGGTGGCTGTAGTCGATGAGCTAGTTGAAATGCTCTCCATGTTAACATTTGCAAAGCTGAGAGGTTTTCTATGGAGGGTTTTCTGTAGTTCTTAAACTCTCCTAAACACTCATATCACGATTGCTTTGTTATCCTGGAAAGAATGAAGCTGTTTTCTTGAAAATACTTATTAAGCTCTAATATTTCAACCATTGTATCAGGTAATCCACTTGTCTCAGTGCCTTAGCACACCAGGAATCCATTTCCATTCTAGGAAAAGTCCTGAACAGAACTTAGTGACATTCAAACACCTCTCCTTCACTCAGAAATATAAAAATCTAGCCCCTTACCATCTTCTGCCTTCAGCAAGTTGTTCACCATGTGGTCACTAACAGAACGTGGTGGCTGCGGCAGATACTCTGCAGAAGGTGTCTCTGAGTCATATGTAAAAGTAACATCAGCCATGGAATTTACATGACAGTGGTCATAGGCTGATAACATTTTCTAATTATGTACTCAGAAAGAAGGCAACAGAGAACCAGTGCATGTTTACCTAAATGCCCCATGACACAGGCACATGCTAGACTGCCATGTTCAAAAGAAAATGTCCAATGAAGAGAGAATGGGAACCAAACGTTAAGTTGAAGATCTTCTGTTGCTACATTAAAAATTAAGTTTAATAATATATTTTACTTAATAATATATTATTTAAATAAAGCCAGATACTTCATCCCAGGTACTGTATGAAGTACTCTAGTACTTTAGAGAAACAATCCACAGAAACTCATACGTGTAAGAGAGAGTTTTATATACAGGTTAAGTGGATGAATCAGTGAGCATGTAAGCATCTCAGAGCTGGCAGGGGTCTCCACACAGCTGTTCCAACATCCAGGGCTGCATGAGGGTAGGTCCATGCAGTTTATCCTAAGGGATGTCTTTCAGGAAGTGAGCCTTGCCAGCTGAAGCAGGGAACTGGCAAAGGCAGCTGCACCCTGGTTCGACCATGAAAAAGCAAGAGACCCGAGAACTAGAAAGGAGAGGCTCACTGAGTCATTTATCCCTTGACCCTTCAATTAACCCCCCATGTGTTTATCGGCCAGGTTGGCACAATAAACGAACTACCTAAGGTACTACAGAGAGGCTTCTCATGCTTGGTAAAGTAGAGCTTAAATGAAAAAGTGGAAGTATCTTAGTGAGATGGATTTAAACAATGACTACAACCATGGTCTCCAACAAAGCAACTATCCTGAGGACTTTGCAGGACAGTCATTGTTTCATTTTGTTATGCTTGGGAAAGTAGAGGGCCAGGGAAAAGGAGGAAGAATCCCAGTGAGATGGAAGGACACAATGGGTACAACTCTGGCTCAAGGATAGCAGCAACGATGAGGGCGATGCAGTACCAGGCTTTGTTTTATTCCATTGGAGGTAGGGTCCAAATGAGCGAGGGCTGACGCAGAGGCATCTAACAGCATATCTTAACAAACCTATTGAATACACTTCTATTTTGATACACGTTGGGTTCCCATGCACCCCCCAAATCAACTCAATAGGAACGGTTCTGTTTCTTCATTTGCTTGTGTAAATGCGGCTTCAACAGGAGCAGAGCTAGTCTCCTCTCAGAAAATAACTGTAGACGCTAGAAAAACAGGGATGGTGGGGGAAGGCTCTTCTCTGAAATCTAAATCAGAGTCCAAGTTACTCCTTGCATTTAGATTGAACCTTCCCTGGGAGGTTACACTTGTCTGTGTTGATGAAGAAAGCAGCCCATTGTCACTTGGAAATTCCACTCCAAGGGAAGAGGAAAAGCAAAGTAGACGGCAAGGGTTACTTCTATTCAAGGGGCCTAGCAGAGGTTGTACACCTGACTTCTGCTCTGTTCTTTGGCAAGAACATAGCAAACAGTTGCCTTTTTGAAAAGGAAGTTGTGACTGTAGTCTCAGGCTGAACATTCATGAATCTATTTATAGTGTGGGGTTTCCATACTGACTATAAGTAGGGAGAATAGACACTGAGTAACAATGAGTAACAATGAGCTGTCTTTGCCAGTCAGCTCTCATTCAGAGCTCATTGAAAAGACACTGGACTATTGAATCTCATTTTGGTGAATAATAGCTGGGGAGTGTCTGCCAAAATATCCAGGTTTTCTTTTCAAAAGCAATACTATACCATTCAGTTTGTCATATTGAATTAAGCTCCTCTGTTTGTATGTGTATATGGTATATACTATACCATTCAGTTTGTCATATTGAATTAAGCTCCACTGTTTGTATGTGTCCAGATATTGTGGCCATCACAAAAAAATCACAAATGCCTCAACAAGTGTATTTTTAGTAATTTAATCTTGATATGTTCCTTAAATGTGAGTTCCCAATACATAGTTGAGGGTGGGTCTTATCTTGATAAGAAATGCATTATCTAATCATTTGCTTTTGAATGGGGCTGTAGGGTTCTAATGTTTATACTTAGCATCAAAATAAAGCTATGTCCAATTATTTTTCTCATGTTTTCTAACAAAGGTCATGCACAATTCCCTGAAATGTTACCCATGTAGAGCTGGAGGCAAAATAGCAGGAAGAGTACCAAAAACGTTGCAAATGATTAAAAGTGTTAAAAGCATCTTGAATGCAAAGTGAAATGAATAGTTTCAAAGTGAATGCTACTCCAGTAGTAGCTCCACTTAAGATAGCCACAGAGCTACACTAATGGGGAGTATATCAAAATAATGTGAGACACTTAACTGAAGTCGAATATACTTGAAATAATGCAAAAGTTTGTTTAAAGGATTACACAGTTTACATTATTTAATCTGACATGTAAAAGGTATTTCATTGAGACTATCTTCTTTAACTACTGAGCTTCAGGCAAATGATTGTCTCGGTACCACAATGTGAAATGAATTGGAGCCTAATTATTATCTTTTAATTAAAATTATTAATTGTTAAACATAAAACAAGAAACTCTAGATAAAGTCACTAGGGAATTTCAAGTGTGACTTTGTATAACCCTAAATATTCAACCCCAGGTTTAGACATGAAAGTAAAATTTAGGGGAAACATAAAAATTTTAATCAGTTTTTAATAGAGAATTAGTGTGGCACTAGATAGAGTCTAATTTGGATTGCATTAAAGTATTTGGTGTTGCTTAAAGGAAATGTTTTCTTAGGAATTATCATTTGTCACTTACATTCTACAAAAGAATGCCTTGACTTTAAAAAGGACAATTATGAAATTTCTTCCTTAATTCAAATTGCATATTCACTGATCCTGGAGAACAGAGAAAAGAAACAGCTTCATACAAGAATGAAAGAAGCAAGCGATCCAGAACTTAGACTCAAACATGCCACTTGTGGCACTTTCTTCTTGTCACTGGTTTCATAATAAAACAATCACATGGCGGACTTTTTCTATTGTTTCTTTGGTGACAGGGATGCAAAGTACTTCGCACAGATTGTCTCATTTTATCTTCAAAATTACACTTCAGGCGCCAGATAATGTTATTCCTCGCTTCTGTAAGATCTCCCAAACAGATCATCTTTTTGAGAACTAAACGGTGAAGCATAGAGTCGTCTTAAAATCCGGATGACTTGATTCTAAGGCTCAGGCTCCTAATCGTCATGTGCACATTGGCCGAAACCCAAGAAACGACCAAGCTCACTGCCATCAAGTCGATGCTTGTTCATCGCGGCCCTGTAAGATGCAGGAGAACTGCCCCTGCGAGTTTCTGAAATTGTAACTCTTTGCAGGAGTAGATAGCCTCATCTTTCTACCACAGAGGTAGTTTTGAACTGTAGACCTTGTGGCTAGTAGCCCAACCTGTAACCACTACCCCACCAGGGTTCCGAAAGATCATTAAGTATATGTAAACTTGTTATAGAGACTGGAATAGAGGTCCCAAAGCTCCGTATCCTTTCTGAGATACCTTGGCTAGCAGTGTGTCAGTATCCAGTCCCACGAAGCATTATGGTCCCTAGAGCTTCCTGTAGCAGATTACAGGTCTTTGTTCACCCAGCACACCAGTCATGAGATTCTTTCCCTTCCTCCAAACGATTCCCATTCCTTTCTGGCCCGTGTGCACCCCTTAACCCCAGTGAAACTATCACTTCAAGGTCATCTGTCCTGTATCTGCCTCGGCACCTCTCTACTCCAAACGGCGCCTTCCTCCATACACGTTTATAGTTGAACTCTGAGCAGTTTGCACTATTTCTCTTAAATGTGCAAGTCTTAGTCTTCAAACTGTTTATTTTGTCCAGGGTCACCCTCTCTGAGAGTAGTTATGGTTAGGATCCCTTCCCCTCCACCCTCTCAATTATGTTCTGGAGTCATAACTCAAGTCAGGTCATAATCGGGTACCTCACCTCATTTCATGTGATGGAAAACCAACCTCCCAAAATGCGAAACAGCATCATATGACCCCTTGTGGCCTGGCTTCTGGGTATGGTAATTTGGTCCTTGGATTGATTAATTGTGGACATAAACCCCCCCAAATATGAAAATACTTCAAAAGATCTATTCACACTAAATTACTTAGGAATTGTATTGACTTCTTTTAAAATCAAAGATGATTGCTATTGAAGGGTATGGGACTGGCAGTCATTGCTCTTTGGCTCATATCTCTTTCCTTGAGGTCCAGAATGAGTTCTAATGCCTTCCTTGCTTTTATGACATGCATTAATCTGGTAGGTGTGGTTCTGCCATGGTGAATTAATATGATTGAAATGTTTGTCCTATTATCAACAGCCATGGTTCAGTCACTTAAGAGTTTAATCTATACAAGTCAACAGTTCATGCAATGAGGCCCATAGTTGACCTATACTTGTATAGTTTCTTTATCCCAAGAGTGTTTTAAATTCTATACCATTGGCTCTCCCATTCTGCAGGTCTGTGTGTCCTCAGCCAGGAGATGGCTCAAGAGGAGGTCAAGATGGGTGGGCTGCGGGCCCCATACCACGCCGCCCCCATGCAGTCCACCGTGATCAACATCCAGAGTGAACCCCAGGTGCCCGACCATGTTGTCTGGTCCCTCTTCAACACGCTCTTCCTCAACTGCTGCTGCCTGGGCTTCGTGGCCTATGCCTACTCCGTGAAGTCTAGGGACCAGAAGATGGTGGGTGACATGATTGGGGCCCAGAGCCACGCATCCACTGCCAAGTACCTGAACTTCTTCTCTACAGTCCTTGGCCTCCTGGGAATCGTCATCTTCATCATTCTTGTCGCCATGGGCACAGTGATGAGCTTCCAAGCCCTGTCACAGATGGTGGGCCAGCAAGGCCACTAGTCACTGCACCACTCTGTGTCCTGGACCCTCCGGCCCTGCCCTGCTAGACGACCTGACCTCTGGCCTGTCTGCTGCCGCTCCTGTCCACAGCCATTTGTGCATGTATCTCCATCTCTCAGCAAGCTCAATAAAGCGCCCCAGTGTATAATGGTGCAGTGACATGGCACACACACAAAAAAATTCTATACCACTGGCTAAGTGAATGTCATTATCAAAAGAATTACCTCATGTCCTAGGGGGAATATTGATAATATTCTCTAACATAAAATAGCAATGATGTCTCTAAGGATATCTATCTCTATCAATATCTATATCATCTATATCTATATCTATCTCTATATCCCATACATATATGAATGAATTGGGGGCTTGCACTTAGTTCCTGCTCCAAACTAAGAACAATTAGTTCTTATAACATGGCCTTGCTTGATGCTAGACCTCATAAGAGATTACTGATGATCGGGGTGTGGTAGCAAAGGGTGGCAATGAATCTAGATGGTGCATGGCTATCAGAAAGAATAACATCTGGGGTCTTACAGGCTTTTCTTCAAACAAACAGCCATTTTAGTGAGACATCCTCTAAGGCAGTGGTTCTCAACTGTCCTAGTGCTGTGACCCTGTGACACAGTGCCTCATGTGGTGGGGACCCCCAACCATACAATTATTTTCATTGCTACTTCATAACTGTAATTTTGCTACTGTTATGAATCTGGTGACCCCTGTGAAAGGGTTGTTTGACCCCAAAGGGGTCGTGACCCACAGGTTCCAAACACTGCTCTAAGGCCACAGTAAAGAAGAGCACCAACTTATGTGATCCAAGCGTTGCAAATTTTAAAAAATCCCAATCTGAGAATATGGTATCAGAATTTAAATTCTGAAGACGTGGTTTGCAGAAGACTATGGATGACAGTGTAGGCCCAAAATGCATTTGAAGGGTCCACACATGGAGTAATCCTCAGGTGAATTCCCTCTGACTATAGCTCAGGGACGTGAATCAGGCAAAGAGTATTGTAAAGTCATCATGGTAGACTTTGGTAAGCTAAAATGCCATAGCTTATCACTTCTCTTTTGACCCATTTTAAAGTTGGTTCAGTTTGTTTTGTTGTTTTTTTTTTTACGTGAAGGTGGATAAGCCTCTGGTGAATCCCCCTGACCTTAGCAGACCAGTGGTGTGAGTAGCCTAGCCAGTACGCAAAGTGCATTCAGATGCAGGTACGGTCAAATTCAACACTCTATCATTTGATCTTCCAGTAGTCTCATTTTAATTTTTTCCAGTTTTTAATATTTTCTGCTTTCTTTTTGATTGGGGCTTTTTCCTTTTTCCTTTGTTATTGTTGTGTTTTTTTTGTTTTGTGTGTACGTGTTTCTGTATATGAAATGCAGGATAGATAAATCGACAGACAGGAGAGAGTGACTGGATTGATGGTTTCTAGGGGGTATGGCGGAAGAGGCTGGGAGGAAATGGGGAGCTAGTAGTAACAATGAGAACAATAAGGAATAGAAAGTTCTAAAATGATTGTGGTGATGATGGCACAGCTCTTCTTAATATGATTAAATGATTAAATTGTATGATATGTGAATTAGATGCCAATAAAACTTTTAAAATAAAAAATAAAATAAATCTAAGCTATTCAAAGGGTTTACATTGATAACCCCCTTGTATATATGTCAAAAAGAATTCTCATTCTATTTTCTGAAAGGCCTTCTCTTCTTCATTACCTTTTGTTTCTTCTCACATTCCTTTCCCTAATTTTCTTGTATTCTACTACCTGGAATTTCCCAGGCAATTTCAAGTTCCTTTCACCTCGATGACACAGAGTAGTTTAGTCATTCAGAGAGAATTTTCAGCTCACCCGGCCAGCTCGCTGTGGAGCTCAGCAGAATAAAGGGACCTCAATTCATTGGCCTTACTATCTTTAGGTGACTATCATTTGTTACTTGTAAAAGTTTGGAGTTATAGCTCCTTCTTTAAGCAAAGTGTCCAAGGTTTTATATATATATATATACACACAAAGACAGTATTCTTTATAGAGGGATTTTAGTAAAACAATGTTTCCATTTTGCCAAATTAAAAATAGCAGCCACCTACTTTGGGATATTTTTTAATACGGTCTCATGAACTGTTCAAAAGGTGCCCCACACCATGGATTCCTACTTGCTCTACTCCAGATTTGGACATGTGAACCTCCTATTTTCTCCTGTAAGACTCGTCCCTCCCACCATCACCACCATCAGACCGAACGGCCGAGTCCTTCCCGATGATGCTCTCCCCATCACCTTGGAAACACACACTATTCATCTAGACATATTTGTAATACAGGAAATAATATATATGTGCTACTTGTATGGAAATTATCAACATGCAACACACATACAATATAGTTTCCTTAATATATAATTAAGAGTAAAATTATTCTTAACTGATACCTACTTACGTCATCAGATTAACCAAATATTTACCCCTCTAGTAAAATTTCTCAAAAAAGTCTAAGACTCCATTGCTGCTCAAGTTAGTCCCTGATGCTGTAGTGCCACCAGCTCTTTTGGCTGTCATCGCTGAAATGGTAGTACTGAGAGGTACTTTTTCCCAGACCTCCCGAGACAAGTTGCGTTTGTACTGTTACTTCATATTATACTTTATCATGTTTTATATGTATCCTTTCAATTATTATTTCATTATACAAAAACTTTCAGACACAAATCATGTAGGTTATAAGACATAATTTATTTACACATTGCTTCTGTACTTATAGTAAGAATGCCTTCCAATATCTTTTGTTCCTACATCTGTATGGGCATCACCATATTATTTTATGATCCTATCTTTTTACATATCTAGTTAATCATTTTATCAACTCCAATGCTATATTATCTCATATACAAAAATACAGCTAGTAAGATGCACAGATAATAGTTGATGCATTCTAATTGAAGAGAAATTCTAGCATCAAAACATATCTTTAACTTATTGATGATGCTGAGTGTCTTCAACTGTTCAGCCATTGATGATTTCAAGAAAACTATTGTCAAATTATTAGTACATTTATTATGGCTCACATGACATGAAGAATCATGTATATATTTCTAATACATAAATGCATATTCAGTGCTAATTCATGTTGAAATCAAATAACTATGCGAGTGTAACGTGTACTACATCAAGTTTGTGATGTGCAATTATCTGCAGTTATGTAAGTAAACAAAACACCAGAAGCTTGTACCTCAGGCTATTTATGTGCTCATAATCTAGCAAAGAGAGACAATCATATTTCTTATAGTCTTTCCCATTTTGACTCTCCTTGGAGCCCTCCTTGGCGGCGGTGTAGATATGAGTTAGACTACGATCCACGTGGTTGGCAGTTTGAAACCACCAGCACCTGAGAGCGAGAGCCTGGGCTTTCTACTTCTGCAAACAGTTAGTCTTTGAAAACCACGGGGGGATATTTTCTAGTCAGCGCTGACTTGATAGCAATGAGTTACTTGTTTGTTTTGATATGGATTGCTATTTTATGAAATAACAGGATCAGGAGAATGACAGTTCTATCAGTCCTTATTCTCACAGATATCAAATCAAAGTTGACTCACAGCGCCCCTACAGGACAAGGTACAACTTCCCTGTGGGTTTCTGAGACTAGAACTCTCTTTAAAAAAATCACAGACAACCAAAAAGTGGATGAAGGGAGACGTCGGACAGGGCAAGATATGACAAAATACCCATTTATAAACTATCAAGGGCTCATGCGGGAGGGGGGAGCGGGGAGGGAGGGGAAAAATGAGGACCTAATGTCGGGGGTTTAAATGGAGAGAAAATGTTTTGAGAAACGATGTACAAATGCGCTTTACACAATTGATGTGTGTATGGATTGGGATAACAGTTGTATGAGCCCCTAATAAAATGTTAAAAAAGAAAAAATAAATAAATAAAATGCAAAAAAAAAAATCATTTTATTGGGGGCTCATACAACTCATCACAATCCATCCATCCATCCATTGTGTAAAGCACATTTGTACATTCATTGCCCCTGGCATCAGCTCTTCCCTCCCTGCTCTATATGAGAGTAGACAGCCTCATCTTTCTCCAGAGGAGTGGCTGGTCGTTTGAATTGCTGATCTTTTGGTTGACAGCCCAACACATAACCACTATGCCACCAAGGCTTCAGGTCAATCAATAGAGGTATAAAAATAGCTTTAATCTTTTGCACCCACCAGGATTCTATCTCAAAGCCTATGAAGTTAGAAAAAGGGTCCCAATGATGGCAAACTGTACTGTATCATGACAGTTTAGCGAATCTCCCACCATCCTAAAGATTAAAATTCTTTTTCCTTCCAGTTTTGGTAGCTTATTTTATTTGTTTTTATTAATTGGACTGAATACATGTATTAAATCATTCCCTATTTCAATCATGTCCAGCAGAAGTGTACCTTTGCCACCACAATCAGTTTCCAAACATTCTTTTTCTATACGGACCTTGTGATGTCATCACCCCTCACCCTGCCATCTCCTCTGTGTCCTCCTCCCCCCAGAACCCTTATTCCAGCTGTTGACTCTATGGGTTCATCAGTCCTGGTTTTCATACCTCCCAAAAGGAAAAACGTGTACCACAACTTCAAAGGGGTGACCCAGGACTACGTGTGGCATAAGTTCCTAATCTCATTTGATTTACCATTCCCTTTTCAGAGAAACAAAAACAAAACTCAGTGCCCCTGACAATTAGAAACTTCAGTCCATGATTGGGGATAAAGTGTAGGTATCTGCTTTTGCAGCCCTCTTGGAATACCCCAGTGCCCTCCAGGGGATATTGCCTTCCGCTTTGGGAAATACTGATGTAGAGGAATAATTAGGATCCGTAAGTGCTTAACTGATAACCTAAAGGTCTGTAGTTTGAACTTTCCAGCAACTTCACCAGAGACAAGACCAGACTATTTGCTCCCATAAAGGTGACAGCCTTGGAAATTCTATGGGGAAGTTTGCCTCTGCAATAAAGGGTCAATGTGGGTTGAAATTTACCCAGTGGCAATCGGTTTATAAAAATCAATATTTTCAAATCCTATAGTAAAATACCAACCAGCGCTTTATTGTAGACACTCTGATGCAGTCTAGACTCCAGGACAAGAACTTGTTTTAAGT